TGTAAAACGCGATAGAACTATGAATATGGCAAACCTGCTTCGAGACCATATTCCATATTCACAAATACGACTGTATTAAAGAGCATGTCCCTGTTATCTACGCGATAATTCCTTTGATACGAATCAGATGAGCTAATTACGGTAAATTTCACTGCGCTGAGCCACCAACATTTACCTGGTAGTCCAGAAACGTGCTAGACTGAATAAATCAGATGAACGTAGAAAATGTTGGTCGATATTTACACTCCAAAATCCTATCACTTTACCTGTTGTTTAGGAGGTCTTAGCGAAAACTGGTATCTCTGAGCAACAGCAAGAATACGAGCAATTGTGTTACAACGGAAGTTGGTACAAACTTGGTGATTTCGTCTACATCAGTTCAGACAAGGCGCTTCCCGACATTCTACGCATAGAGCGTTTGTGGAAAAGCGAAGGGTATGGAGTGTTTGGCTGGCAGTCGGTTCAGTCTTGAGGTAGGCCATTGTTTATGACTGTCAGCTCACATTTTCAGGGAACCGCTCATATCTGGGACCTGGTTTTTGCGACCTGACGAAGTCGATCATGAGCCGACCCGGCTGTTTTACAAAAAAGAGTTATTCGCGATCGATCGTAACGTCGCTACCACACTCGCCAAAGTCACTGGACGCTGCGCTGTGCTTACTTATCGTGACTACTGTCGAAGTAAGCTCATTTTCGATGGTCATTTCTTAAAGTTATACCTCGTAAAGTAGATTTCTTCCAAAAAGTTTATCAAGGTTATCTGAAAACTAAATTTAAATAACGTTTAGAAATATTCCTTTGTTTAAATTGTTTAGTTCATATTTCTGGAGTGCCTGGCCATAGTTGAATTTAAAGCAATACCCGTGACAATACTGCAACTCAAAGTGGTAAGCTGTGTAGAGTCAGTCAGTCAGTCAGTGGTGTAGTTGTCCCCATTTTTAGATGACTAACTCTGTTACGGTGCTACCGGGGTTGTAATATTTCTTGATGCATTTAGAAGTTTCTGAGGTAAGATTGAAGGGCTTGATAAGTGAACATGTGCTTCTATCCTGGAGGTTATTTTTATGGTCTTCTTGATTGTTATGGAATTGCTCCGCATATAGATTTTTTTACAGAAATCAGTTACCTACATTTTGAGCCGTGTTCAACTCGTTGTCAAAGTACCTTGAGATAAAAGATGATTGCTGATCTTGCTCCGGGTTCAAAAGCTTCCTGAATCTGAGTTGAACTGTTTAAATAATTAAGGTATTACTATTTGTAAACCTTGATCGTAAACCAGTGCCTGGATTTCTTTCAAAACTTCTTTCGAAGAACACCTCCTCTGATATGTTCATTTTCCATAGAAGTACCGTTTTTTTGCCTTTTGTCGCTTTTTAAATTTAGTGCGTCCCACGGAAATACGAGAGGAGGATGTTTTCATCTGCGACTCAAAGGTCGCCATGCCAACACCCGCACCACCATCGCAGTCCTCAGTTCCAGCTGATGACGTCAAAGTGAAAGTTTCTGGTACTCACTACCAGTTTTCTGTCCTGAACGAACGAAAGTTTAAAATTAAGGTACTTGATGAAACCCGCTTGGCTTTGCGAATGTTTCTGTGCTGTGCTAAATTTACGCATATTTAGATATTCAAACTCTCTGCCGATGTAGTTGAGGACGAAGTTTACTACTTCAAGAAGCAAGTCACGCCGGAGAAGGTGAATTACATTTTTATTTTCATTAAATTCATGGTTTGCAAATTTATTTCTAGAAAGGAGTTTGTTTATACGTTGGTTATCATATCGCAAATACATTGAAATATACTGTCTGTGGAAACCTTTTTCATAATATGCAGACTGCCCTACTAATGCTACTTGCCCAAGTTTTCTGCTGGGATATTTAGTAATTGAAGGGCCATAAACATTAGAGTGGCTCAAGAAGCGACGATGATCCAAGGCTAAAGTGTAGGGTGGTATATAAAAGTTGCAAGTTGTGTAATTCGCAGTGTAATATGGTTTGGGAAGAGTTAGATGCTTGTTAACATGCGTGAGCGGAGAGCGCATGTGTATGCACTTTTTGCATCATATCTCATCGTGCTCCTAGGTATTTTGATGAAATTGATATGCTGAGCAATCCCGTTGAAATTCAGGGTTCATTTACGGAATCACTAATCTTATTACCATACCAGGACTCGTTTAATATGGAGAAAATTGTTTAATCATTGAACGAACGGTTCTTGTACCGATGATCTTCGGTTTCTGATCCATCGTTCAAGGCAATATTTGAAAAGGATAATGTAAAATCCTTTTGATTAACAACTCCTTTTGACATTGCACACGAGCATCATCATCAGGATTGTAGGGCCAGTCTGTAACCCCGATGATGATGCTGATATGCAGAACTGAAACGCATCTGTAGGTAAATAATTTTTCAGTGTCTTTTGAAATAGTTTATTCGAGCCATTGGTCGAGAACCGAAGATATTATCTATTTTTACTGCAGTCAGAGGATCGGCACTTTCTTCCGCATCTAGGTTTGATCAGTGCATATGTTAATGAGACCTGTATGAAAATGTGTTTTCGACTACTGATGTAAATTTAGCGAATTTAGATCACTAAAAGTATGAAAAAAAATTTATGCTTAAAGGCACGAAAAATATCAAAATATATTTTCATGCGAAATTGACGTTTTTTACAGCATGTACTTTGCTGATAACCAAGTGTCACAACTGTACATTTAACATTACTTAAAGTTTATGGCTCTTACGTCACTGCTGTTTCCCTGTATTTCATACACACATAGTATCCCCTTCTTTCGTACAGTATATTAAGTTTTCAGGAAATGCTTATGCTAGATTAATTATTTCTTCTACTTCTTTCAGTTTAAATGGGACATTCTGACATCTGGTAACCTGTCAGATTCGTGATCTACACATCATCTGAAGCAGTGAGGAGAATCGTCTTCTCGTCATCGACTAGTTAGCTAGAGAGAAACGGCGGTTTGCAGCAAAAGTTGGGTTTCCAAATAAAGCCATTCAGCTAACTTGAATGCCTCATTCCATGATATTAAAAGTCCTTTATATTTATTGCACTGTTTTTGAGAATTAAAATTCATCACATTCACATATGAAGCAGCTAATAAGTTTTGCCGATCATGTTTAAAAAATTTTTTCATTGTTTTCATTTGAGTTTTTCGTGTAACTACTGTTAAAGTTAATGAATTGTACAACTTGTTTCAGGAGGCTTCGCCGTTTCTTATGAAACGTGACTTAAGCTACGATCCCGCAGCGGACATAAACGAGACCAGTACAGAAATCGAGAGCTCAGAAACCAGTATTTTGAAGGTGCAAATTGTCGGTGGTTGTATTGCGAAGTTTATATTCCTTGGTTTTTTCTCTCACAGGGCATCCATATAACACCCAAGTTGACTGCGAGGTCAAAGAGCGGCTATATTCTATTTTCAGCTGTGGTCAGGAAGCGTATTATGGCCGAAAATCCGGAATGTTCCTTCGGCGACATCAGTAAAATCGTGGGATCAGAGGTTGACTTTTACCAAGCATTTCGATGAAGCATCGTGCTTTTATAATCCTTGTCATTTTCAGTGGAAAAAGCTCTCTGAAGAAGACAAGAAGCGATACGAAGAAGAAGCACAGAGAATAGCCGAGGAAAGAATGAAGGCAGATGCTGCCAAAGGTGGTCGCTTTCATCTGTTGCCTGGACAGATTCGCGTATATTGTTGTCGTTGGAAGGACTGTGATTATCAGTTCGAAGCACTGGATCAACTAAATGAACATATAACCAACTGCCATACTAGTCAAATTGGTACCGCGTAGTTAATCGATCGATGCTTATGATTCGTTCACTGATTTGCTTTTCTAGTTGAATGCGGTGACAACCAGTTCGTGTGTCTGTGGCAGACGTGTGCTAAATATCGAAAGGAGGGAAAGTAATTAGCGGCTGGCGGGATATTGGTGTTTTGCCTTATATGAGTCTGCTTTTTTTCAGGCCGTTCCCTTCGCTGCCGCGCCTTCATCGACACATCAAGGAAAAGCACCTACCTACTGCTGTCAAATGCATGTATCCTCCGAATAAGAGCAGGTTTGATGCTTTCTTATAGTTGGCTGTGCAGCGTCTGGGTTGCACACTAGCTTGTATGGACGGGTAACCCCTTTAACGTGACAGTAATGAGTTATGAGGCAGTGTATAAACCGAGCTTTCTTTTTTATATATCTTTATGTGAAGCATATAACCGGACTAAAAGTACTAGATAATAAGATAACAATCAGCAAAGCGCCTAAAACTTAAATATTTATTAAATAAGGAGTTTTCAGAGCCCGTAGACTGTGTTCTTATATCAACCTGACTATAACATTTATGAGGAACAATGCAATACACAATATGTGCAAGTTCACAGTGGCCGAAAAGGACAGGAAATTTATGAGCGTAACAGTAAAAAGCAAATAAAATGAAGAAATGAAGAAAATGATTTATAATAACCATGTAGATAGTTTTTTAGTAACAAATTCTAGCTAGGTGACAAGCTGTGTTAACTTATAAATCAGCACCGTAGGCTTGAATAAATTTATATATTACTATGCCAACTATAATGGTGTTGCAG